TTATATATTTTGCGGATAAATTTTGAATCACCTTTTATATCACGAAAGCTAAAGACTTCTTCATACATTATGATTAAATAGTTGTTAATAAAGATAAAAAGTGGACCACTCTTTCTAGACGTTGTTTTTGATAAAAAATGTTGCAGTCTTCTCTAAAGTCTTCCTTTATTATTTGTTTTCATGTCTTAAACTTGAAATGATATCTTCTACTTACTGACTATTGTTTCCTATAAAATAATGTACTACTGGTATCAAAAACTATTTGAAGTAAGTGTTGCATTAACATTAATCAATTAGGAACTGTTTATTTAATAATAGTAACATTTGCGTACCGACTTCTTTTTTCTCTTCAATAAAATGAGAAACATTCATTCAATAAACCAGTTTCGCCTTCCATCATAACAAAATTCATCCAGCTTGTTGCAATAGATATTTATATAATATTTACGACTATTTGTGGAGGAAAATATATTTTGAAAAGCTAAAACCTATATTCTACATACCCCCAAACACAAACTATTTATTTATTTTTATTTCAGCAGTGGTTGCAAATTTGGATGAATGCTATAAGCTTTTAATGAACCAAAAATATTCACTTGTATTTCTAATTCCTACTAAACTTTAGTAAATCCCTTTTCGTGCTACATCTGATACTGCTTTAATGCTTGTAATTCGGGACTTTGTTCACAGTACTGGAAGTAAGACATCATTATGTTGTCATAAATTGTGTAACAATGTATTAAATTTTGAGGAAATATCTTAATGTTTTAGTAAGATTTGTAAGTAATTGAATGGGTAAATTGGACGAACAAAATGAAACTAAAGATATAGCAGAATATTTTTTATAATTTTATAAGGTGTTTTCTAAGCTATTAGCACAACTTTTTATCAGATCATTTTATTTAGATTATTTCACAATGTTTCCACTAATTCTAACAAAAATTATATTATATTTTCTCGTGAAATAAATAGTTAGCGTCTTGGCTGGTTTTTCGACTAAAATCGAAATCTTAGAAATTAAATGGACTGTTCAACAACCGTCATGGAAAAAACAAAAATTCTGTCGGATATACAAAGGTACGTCATCTAATTTTGGTAAAATGTTCTCCAAAAAAATTAGATAATCATTCCCATTTAGGCGAATAGGCAGGAAAGCAGCTTCTTTCAATGGCTGAACTTTTCTAAATTGAAAATTTCCTTGTGCAACATGTGTCCTACAGTAGTTTCTGAAATATTCGGTTACATTGCAGCCAGCCTTCTAACACTAATTTCAGGATTTTCCTCAACTTCCAGCAATATGTATTCTTTGTGTTATTCACTTATATCAGCATGTCTTCCCTTATCACGCTTTTTAAGATTCAATGATCCGATTTTTTTATTTTTGGTCTAAGAAAGTAAAAATGGTATGAAGAGGATGTCTTCTATTCGGAAATTTTTCTACAGAACGAGGTGCATATCGGCATTTCTGTAGTAAACATTCTTAAAAAACTGAATTTTTTATATTTAGCAAAAAAATGACAATTTAAATTATTGAGAACTGAGAGAAGATTTGATTGAAAACTAATTTCTAAATCTGATATTCACAGAGTAGCTGCCGGTTGCTATGATCTGTTTTCCAAAGCCAACTGCATACTAAACATTACCAAACAATTTGTAATCTTGTAATTATCGTGCAAAAAAACACAAACATTTCAAATAGATTTTTCTCGCTTACGCTACACTCTAGCCACTCAAGACAAGAGTACCTCTTTGTCTAGGAAACTCTGAAGTTTTCGATTTTGATATTAAAAATACCAAATAGTCGAAAAAAATGTAATTAAGAATATCAATTCATCCTCCCAAATATGACGGATGCAATTAAAAGGTCATTTTCACATCAAAAGGATGTCCATATATGGGTCAACAAATAACCTAAGTATGATCCTTCTAGATAAACAGCGATGTGAGCAATTACAAAAAATAATGTCAGAGGGCTATCTTCATAAGAGCCCTACCTCGCTTAGAAACATTTTTGGATAAGTCGACTTGTCGATATGAAATCATCCCTAGAATTCGCTGTCATCGTTAGTCGGTTTATTTTTCGGACATCCTATATATTAAATATTTAAGCAGACAATTTAAGTTGACCGTGTACGTAATTTCTACATTTTGATATGCTGTGAATGGTGTTTAAAAAGTCAGTTTAAGTTTGTGAATAAACGTGAATGTAACTTTAAATATTGTCAAGATTGAAGTCAGAAAAATCGCATCTGTTTTGCAAATCAGATGAATGGTGTGAATATGTTTAGGCTACAAGAGCTCTGAAATATTAGAAAAAATGCAGTTGAATTTTCATGCCATAAATTCGGCTGTCTTGCTTTAAGTGACGTCACCACATATAAAGGACCAGAGGGTCCGTCTATTTGTTGAGTATGATCAACATCATTAGATGTAAGGTGCCTCAAAAAGAGGCTATTCGTTTCTAAACCGTTATAATACCGATCCTAATACCCTGGATGCTGGTGGTCTACAAACGCCAAAATTTGTGGGCACGGGTCAACCCTTACATTGACTTATCTGTTAGCGTAGCGTAGCTTATTGACTCAATGATACTTCATTCATCTCGTTTTTATGATTCTTTAGCTATGACATATTAAAATTTGATCGATGCATATTTCTACCATAAATGTCGATATTTTACTTCAATTTACGTCATTTTTAACAATATTTCGAAGAAGTTTTCAAAAATAATATTGTTTGATACTCAGTTACGAAGTCGCTTTTACATTCTCGAGTTATTTTTATTTGCTCACACTGGCAAAAAACTTTTCATTATTGAATAGGTACAAAAACAATATTTCACAATTTAGAATTCAAAATAATTATTTACTGCCTATTACCGTTGCGCCTTGTATTGCAATTGACACCATTTATCAAATTTGGTAAGCAAGTAAACATATACAGTGTAGGAAAGTACCGATGGTCTATCAGAAGTTACGTGAGAGCGATAAAGTAAGCCATAGAAATCCATGCGATAGACAAGGATGGCTATAATGAAGGCGTCTAATAGTCAACGCCCATTTCGCCCTTCCACAAATAAGAAGTGGATCTTATTTGTGGAAGGGCGAAACGGGCGGTGACTATGAGAGGCCTTCATTATAGCCATCCTTCTCTATCGCATTCTATGGCTTACTTTATCGCTCTCACGTAACTTCAGATAGACCATCGGTACTTTCCTACCCTGTACAGTGCGTCCCAGAAGTAAAGCAAAAAATTCGTATTTTATTTTGTGTTGCGTTTTCACAAAAACTCTAAAACACGTCAATTAGTAAATAGGAATTGTCGTTTTGTCACGTTGCTTTAATCTTTTTTTGGTGTTTCATAATCCTGTGACGTCATCAACATTTTTTTTAAATAGCACTACCTAATTTTAAGCATAAATGGATAGCCCTTTTGAAGGCAAATGCGTCGATATAGGGTTTGGCCTACTTTACTTTCACAGGTGCGAAAAATTGCCAACGATTGGAATGGTAGACGGAGGTATTGGTTGTTCTGAATACTTGGCATTGAATAATTGACATACTTCATCGTAACTACGGATTCTATCTCCATATCCAACCATAAAGCGTTTGATCGCATCGATCATAAACTTCTTTTACAAAAATTGCAAGTGCTCGGATTTGATCCCGATTTGTGCAATTTTTTTAAATCATATTTTTGTGATAGAAGGCAATTTGTTATGTACTTTGGCCATAAATCAACAATCTTTACAGCTATGTACTTCTGACGTGCCACAGGGTTCAAATTTGGGGCCGCTACTTTTTGTATTATTTATTAATGATATTGCTAATATAATAAACTGCGACAAACTTTTATTCGCAGATGATTTAAAGTTATTTTCAAAAATTAAGGACATTAATGATAGTAGAATGTTACAAATGCAATTATGTGAGATAGAAAATTGGTGTAATTATAATAGTCTCAATTTAAATGAAAATAAGTGCAAAATAGTAACTTACACCGTAAATGTAACCCAGTTATCTACGATTATGTTTTGAATGAAGTAATATTGGAACGATGCGATTCCATTAAAGATTTAGGAGTAATATTCGACGCAAAAATAAACTTTTTAAATCATATTGAGTATGCCACAGGTTCTTTTATAAGATCCAAACTTGAGTCCTGCTCGCTTGTCTGGTATCCACTGTATGTAAATCATAAGCACAATTGAGAATGTACAGCGAAAGTTTCTCAAGTTTTTATGTTTGAAAATTGATCATTTTTATCTAGAAAGAGGATACGATCATTCTGTATTGCTTGACAGGTTTAATTTTACTTCTTTGGGGTTACGTAGGATTATTAATAGTTTAAAAATTATTTTTAATATATTTCATAGCAATTTAGATTATCCCTTGTTATTGCAACAGTTTTATTTTCAAATTCCTAGAATAAGTTCCAGGCAGCATTTTACTGTCAAGCTGTTAAGACCAATACAGTTTTGAAATCTCCTATATATATATTATGTGCAAAAATTTCAATTTAATATCTGATACTTGCGATGTTAATGCTAGTACTCTCTCGCAAATTGTTATATCGATATCGCAAAAAAGGTTTAAACAACGTGACAAAACGTCAATTCCTATTTACTAATTGACGTGTTTTAGCGTTTTTGTGAAAACGCAACACAAAATAAAATACGCATTTATTTTTGTGTTACTTCTGGGATGCACTTTATATATTTGATAAAATTCACAAAAATGTAATTACTTCAAACACTTTAGAACCTTCTACTCGCAGACTTCTAGAGACATATTACTTTTGTTGCTAGTTTAGAATCTATTCTCAAATTTCATGTGATGTAGGAAAATAAATTATAAACTAATCTTTTAGAGTAAGAGAAACTATTTTCATTAAATACAACATTCATCCAAATATGTAGCCACGGATCACGTTTATTTTACGTTAACAATCCAACACTGAACAACTCAAACAAAAGACTGTTTTCTCTGAAAAATCCCCAGAATCACCAGAAGTGGACCAAATATACCAGGTCCTGAAACAGGCCACGGAAATATCTAACAGCAAACCGCGCGTTAACGTCGAAATCATTCCACCATCCGACAAGTCGGCCACGGGTTCGAATCCGGGCAGTTCCGGTAGTTCCGGCCAAAGTCTTAACCGTAGGGGGGTGCCCCCTCAGCCTTCAAGGGCGACCGGTTCGATGTTGGCAGTTGTAAATCCCGCTCCCTGCTCCACCAGTTCAGGTTTGTCGAAAACTGTATCGATCCAACGGCCCCCCAAAATGGCTCGCAGCATGTTTTCACTGATCCAGTACGAACGTTGTGGGAACTGTTCGGTAACGCTCGTAAATAATAAAGTGCTTATAGAAGCACGTAAAATAGGGACATGCTTTCCATCACGGTGAAAATTGATTATTATATATACCAAGGTATTATCTCGGTTTTCGGAAAGAAAGTCCCTCACAATCCAATTTAATAAAAAAACTACTAGATTCAGGGTTTACAGTGTGCAACCCCATATTACTATTTTTAATTTTTTTAATTAAATAATTTTAAATTAATGGAGTAAACTTTCATTTGTAATTTTTGAACTTCATAATATTCATTACATAATTTAGAACTTAAAATTATTATTTATTAACTATGTTTTTTTACTTAAGTTAAATTTTGTTATTAAAAAGATTATGAAGGATTTGGAACTTTCTGAAAACCTAACGATGAACATTTATCCATTTTAAACTTAAGATATTATAGATAGACAACATTAGATGCTCGAGCACTATGTTCTACTTAAGTCTGTCGCATCGCACGAATGTTAGGCGCCCAAGTACAGAATCATCACGAAAAATTGTTAATTTTCAAAGTAACTTTATTTAGCATTTTAGTTATTAACATCATATTGAATAGCTGTAGGACCAAATGTTTTCTGCTATGGAACATTAAAAAACTAAACAAGTAAACTTTTGCGTCAAAACTATTAGTCCAAAATTAATTTTATGAAATTATTTTTGACTAATTAAATGTCTTACACTAAAGAAGAAAAACAGACAAATGAATATACATCACATTTCAAAAAAAATCTTTTGGAAATATTGCCGAAATAATCGACAGAATTTTCTATATTTTGGCGAAGGCGCCGGTGCGATTATGTTAACAGTGCATTCGCCAAATTATAGAATAATTTAGTTCTTCACTTTTAAATCTCTTAAAATCACTTCTGAAATCTGTTGTTTTTAACTCTTTTTACGAAAACTCTTAAAACTCAAAATAATTAGTTTCTACCTTGGTCTTGAATTACCCCTGCCACAAACTGATTTCGTATCACGAAAGTAAAATAAAAGAACGTAACTTTTCTAACAAACACTCACCATTGTTCAGTTATTTTATTGTGTATCTTCCGAGATATTTGCGTATTAATGATATTTTGAAAAAACTTAAACACCTGCAACTTACTGCTTTGGATAAAGAAGGAACAGTTATACAGGGTGTGGCGTGTGTAATCTATAAAAATTAAACTACAGCGTCCTAACGATATTTGTAATAGAAAAAAAAGTCTTATACGAAAAAGTTCTATTCTTGTGTTTTTTTTTCGAAAATTAAAGTTCAATTATTATGAATGAAAATATTTTCTCTGGAACGGTCCTGTCCGTGTGCTGTACGATGAGTTACGTGCTGTAGACCAGTCGCGTAAACAAATCGTCTTTGAAAGATAGAAAGATACTTCTCAATTTTTGAGGAATTTTTCAATGCAAAAGTGCAAACTAAGAAAAATAGATATTTAAAAAACTGATATTTTCTTATTACCATAATAATTAATAGTAATATTACTATCTATCTTAAATGCATTGTTCTTACTGCAAGAGTTCGCAAACAAAACCACATCCGTAAGCATCTGTAGTTGCTAACTACGTGCACTAAACAAACTCCATTAAAATATGGAACAGAATGAAATAAAACTTACCATTTCTAGAGAAAATGTTGAAATTGATCTCCATTGGCGCGGATACAGGCATGGCACCGACGCAGCCAATTTGGGGAATATATTCCCAAATTCCAGGTATTCCCCTAATTGTGTCAGCAGCTTCAAGTATATGGTTTCGCAGTTCTTCCACCGTAGCAATTGGAGTATCCAATGAGTTCAAGTGACTCCAAAGATAAAAGTCCATTGGAGTTATATCGGGTGAGCGAGGTGGCCACGGCACAGGACCAAAGCGTCAAATCCGTCGCTGAGGAAACATTTCATTCAAAAATGTCGTTACTTCTCGAGTACTGTATGAAGGAGCCCCATCTTGAAGATTTTCGTTGAATAAATGAACTTTAATTTACAAAAAAGAACGGCAAGACAGAACTTTTTCGTAAAGGAGTTTTCTATTACAAATATCATCAGGAAGCTGCAGTTTAATTTTTATAAATTATACACGCCACACCCTGTATATTGGAATACCAGGAAGGTAATTCAACTATTATAGTTATTTTATAATGTTACGATGTTATATAACTACTGTCATTAGTTACTTAGCAAATTTGCAAAACAAAAACGTTCAATTTTACTGTTCACTTTTTAAAATTTATTCATGTTTACTTATTTTGTCATCTTTAGCTTTAATATCATAGATCTACTCTAAAAAGTAGGCTAGGCAATAGACTAGACTATTTAATCCTATAATATCTTAATCCGCTGAAATCGGAATTCCCGAAATGGTACGTATTTTTACTTCAAAGTAACTTGAATAGTCAGGGTTTGGAAAAATACTCGAACTCATGATCTCACTGTACCATAACTCCATAATCCCTTACCCCGAGACAAACAAACTCTTGCCGACTCATGATTTGGGCTATACAGATTTGTATTACAAAATCACCAGTGTTTTTTTCTGTTTGTATCTATACTGAGAAATTGTAACCAAGTAGTAAGTTGGTTATTGAAGAATTATTTTACTATTAAAATTATTTAAATAACAAGTTACGGGGTTATGAGATTGCGGAGTTATAGGGTTATAGTGATATGGGGTATGGTGCAGTGTTGTATCTCCAATCTCTTTTAGTGAAGAAATTGTCTAAATTTTTTACTCTCTTGTGATTCAGAAAAGATTCGTTGGCGCATATTCCTCAAATATTTATTCTGTTTTATTCCGCAAAGGTTTTGTCAGAACTGACAGACCATTTTCAAGTAAGATGGTATGTCCCATAAAAAATTGGCTACATTTTCGTTGACCTTGTCAAATGACTGAACGTAATATCCTTTTTACATATATAATTTTCATCTAGATATGTTCTTGTCGTTTTTGGTAATAATGATCCTTCAAACATTTCTTAGTACTTACTAAGTACTGGTATTTATAGCAGATATAATTGTCGATTCAGTGCAAATTTTCCAATTCATTTGCAGGTATACATTCGTATCGCATTTTTGGGATAGTTTAAGATCCTGTTTACTATGAAATATATTTATACTTTTTCCTAATTAGGTACTCTTCTACGGTGTCTTCCTAACAAACAAACATCAAATTTTAATTCATCGTTATAAATAAGTCTTTAGAAGTCTGTTTCAGTCCGTGGTAGCTTAGATTTTACTCAGTTGCATTATATTTGCTTTTGAATTTTATTTCTTTAGCCAATATAATTAGGTATAAACTATTGAATACCAACAAAAAATCAAAGTACTTTATAAAACTAGGCCCACACTTGTGAATTCATTTTCTACAAGATTGTCTAGGAGCGCTCAATCCTGACTCCAACGCAGGGGGATCTTAGTAGATAGAAAAATGACGTTTATACGTCATTTTTCTCAATGCTTTGCAAATTTTAAAATAAATAAAAAAGTTAATAAATAGTATAGCGTTGAAATTGGGAAAATATAATTTCAAATGATACCAAATTTATCCAGCTTTTAAATTTGCAGAAGAACCGTTTCGGATTTGTATCCTTTCCTGTAAATACCCCCTGTATAAATTATGTTCCATTCAAAATCTTTTTTTTTTACGTAGAAGGAAGAAAGAAACAGATTAATATTTGAGCTTGCGACGTGACTCAGGCAAAACAACATTGGGTTAAGTTTCGAATATAACTTTCCCGAGTTGACGACAAGTCATTTATATCTGTTGACATCTCATTGCCCTCCAACTAATCTTTGCTGTGTGCCCTTCATCTCTGTACTGAATAATAGCTGGGACTTACCAATATAAATTGTTTGTAGGTGCTAATGTAATCTGCGAAATATTAAAATGACCCAGATTTCCATATCAGTTTCTGATTTCTTGTAGCCAGAGAAAAATATATGTATATTACAAATTATTCTTCTCACACAGCCATCAACGTGAAATGTTTTATGTCTTACTACTAAAATGATTTATATGAATTTGTCAGAGCAGGACGTATTAATATACTACCAGGACAGCTTAAATTCATTCTATAGATCAATCTGATTCGAAGGAGTTCTCTTTATTATGAAATTACGGCTTAGGCAAACATTGTGAAAAGTTTTGAAAGGGGTTTTAAAAAAAGTTCAGATTTTTTTCCTGTGGACTATGGACAGAAAATCAACTACTTCCAATAAATTTTCTATGCTCGATGTCAAAAGTCGATAAGTAAGATTATAGCTACCAGATCTGATTTGGATCTGGAAATCCACAGGAAAAAGTAATTCTCGAAACATCTAGTATACCTATGAACATGCCTATCCATTTCAACATGCGAATTCTCAAAGACAAAAAATGATAACGGGATAAATCAAAATGCGTTTTAAAGAGTAAGTATAGTACTTTAGGGAACCATTAATGATTTCACCAAAAAAAAATAACCTTTCTATGTAACATAACCTCAAATACGTCAAAAATTCGCCATTTTAGCATTTTTAGGTTAGAAAACCAGAGCCAATTAAGAAATTTGGACCTCGGATTCAAATTCAACGCACCAACAGCCTTTGGGAAAGTTATTCGTGTGTTAAAGCGTTACCTCCTTCGTTTAATTAAATTTATTTAATTAAGCTGTCCCATTTTTACGTGTCTGTTCAAATATCGCCCAACCGTGTTTGAGAGCAGTCCCCACCTGCGACCTTTCTGAAGGGTTTCAAGAGTTAACTTTTATCATGCATGCATTCCTGATACTTTTTTGGCCCTCATCACTTTCCTTTTCCGGTACCTTTCCTTCCTTTCCGGTTATTATCCTATTCAAATCTGGGGGTGAATAAATAATGTTTTAAAGCTTTACTTCATTCAAGTCAAACTTTGCAGATTTCCCGACCC